GTACCCGAGGTTTCATACGTCGTATACTTATTAATTTTCATTTCCGTACTGTATCTATACAGTTTATCTACATTGTTAGTCATTCATGTCTTCCGTTGCCGAATATATCTCGAGTTCTTATACAAATATCTGAAGGCGCAAATTTGGTATCACGAGTGATTTATATAGGACAAGGCAATTACAGACAATTTTTTATTTCCGTAACTTTCATTTCCATGACCATTTTGAAAACCATCGTGGTTACAGTAATTTAAATATGGTTACGGAAATGAGTAAACTGTTGTTTGAAATTTATAAAAACATATAATAAAGGTTTTTTGTGCACATAGCCGCCCGTCAATTCGTCCATACCATAATCTTGTGAACGCAACTAGATTCTTAACCCCTTGGTGGATTTGGTTCAAACTTTCACAGAAGATCAGCCTTAATTTGTAGATAATCATTAGGACAGGAATTTTTGCTGTGGTCAGGTTAAGCAGAATTGTGGCCCTTTGTTGTTTTCATCACAACACATTATATAGATGAAAAATCTTGTGAACGCAACTCATCCTACACCCCTTGTTAGATTTGGTTCAAACGTTCACATTAAATAGGAGAACTAAGCATCATGAAGTGGGGGGGGGGGGGGGGGGGCACCAGTGTCTCATGGGCACATTTCTAGTTTTATCCTGCCTTTATTGTTTCACATTAAACATTGTATCGTATTATCAATGAAAATTGCTAATTAACATTTTACTATATGATAATATAAAATTTATTAAAAATTTTGCATTTATAACGCAGATTTAAAATAAATCTTTTCTTATTATGTTGTGACTATAGATCTATTACGAATTTCAACTGTTTCAGAGAGAATCAAGACTTTTTTTGACAAACACTTAGGAAAGCTTCAAGGCCAGTTATCTACACTACTGCAAACAAGAAGGGTTACGTTAGCCTAGGCACAAGCTGTTCGGAAGGTATTCGAAGAAATTGAACAAGTGGAAGATACCATTTTGTTCATACGTAAAAAGTTAAAGGAAATGCCACTCACCAATGCAGAAAAACAGAAACGTTGGCGAAAGCGCCAAAAGCAGAGTGAAGGCACGTACAGAGAATACTTAAGAAAAGAAAGAGAAAGGTACAAAAGAAAGAAAGAGCGAGGAATTGTTCTACCTATATCAGAGTTAAACACTCATGATCAAAGATTAAAACGTCGCAAATGGTGGAGAAATGCCAGAAACAAAAAGATACAAGATATGCAACTCAGAAATGCCGTTATGAATCAAGTTACGCCGCCAACTTCTCAAATGTCATCGAAGAATAACAATTAAAGACAACAGCAACGCCGACAAGCTGGTATAAAAAAGTAAGCAAGGACAGAGCTAGGGCATATAGAGAAATATTCAAGTTACGTTTGGCCTTAAATAGAGCAGAAAGATTTAACAGAAAAGTACAAAAAAAGAAATCAAAGGCTACAGAAGAAACTGCCGATGCCTTAACGGGATCTTACCAAAGAAATAATCAAAAATCGTGAACTGAGAAAAGCCTTGAATTTCTATTATGTAATTGTTCAAAATATAAAAAAGAGATATGATACAACGAAAAGCCCTAGACAAAGAAAGTTCATATCTAGCATAGTTTGTTCCTACGAACTACAAAAGAAGTACCGATTTGGACAGTTTGCCAAACATACACTAAGAATATCAAAGCACCAAATGAAAACAGGCGATAAAACAAGAAAGAAAACAATTAAATCAACCAGAATTAAAAAGGTAATAACTGACTCCCTGGAAAGAGACGACAATTCTCGCTTGAAAGCAGTTAAGAACGGAACTGTCACGAGATATAAGCAAAAGAAGCTGATCCGACTTTTGACAGATGATTTGATGCATCTTCATGCCAAATTTATATCTGAAGGTGTTCATGGGAATATTTCGTATTCACTGTTTGTAGAATCCGCCCATTTTGGATAAGATCACCAACATTCAACGACAGAGATACATGCTTATGCATATTACATGAGAACATGCAGTATAAGCTTGAAAGAGCATATACGACCAGATGTTTATATCAAAAAGAATTCAAGACCTTGCAAAAACTCTGACTTGTAAATTAGACTGTAAAAAATGCATGTATAGGGAGTGTGAAAAATGCAAAAACAAGAGGCTAAACCTTATGATAGACGAAGACAGAAGGGGAAAACAAGTCACATGGAAGATGTGGCAGAAAAGAAAAGTAGATAAAGTATGTTAAAGGAATACAAGCTGTTCATTACGGAGCATCACAACGCCAGATTAGCATTCACACAGTAGTCGCATACACCAAACCTTAAACGATACCGTTTGCCACACTCTCAGATAACTTGGAACATCGTCCTAGTGGAATCGGGCAGACATGGAACCTGTTATTAAGTATATGAATACTCGTCATGAATTTAAGACTTAACATTTTGTATCTGATGGACCAACGCCACAGTACAGTAGAAGGTTAATCTTTATATTTTTACCAAACAAATGTTTGAAAAAGGATATTTGAAAGAAACACGGAACTTCCAAGAGTCTAGCCATGGAAAAGGGTCAGCAGATGGTGTAGGCGCGTGGTTAAACGAACTGCGGACAAACGTGTGGAAACTAAAACTGTTTGGTGGCCTAATACTGGTTTAACTCTCCCGGAACGATGGATAGGAAACTACCCGCCTATATCACTGAAATACTGTTGGAAAAAGGCGTACAATGAAACAAAACAAACAAACAATACTCCGAATTCCACATGATTATATAATTTGCAAAAAATAATATTATGATGAAAATATCTTTAAACTTAGCTACTCTATCTTGATACTAACATTATTCATATTCCTAACATTCAAACCTATGTCTGAACAAACGTGCGATATTGGCAAAACTACATTTTCCATTCAGGAGATACTGAAGCATGTTGGAGTATGAGTGTGCCAACTGGAGAACACCCAACTTAGACTTCATGTATCAGCAGTACGCTTATTGATCAGCGGCTCCCTACATTTCAAGACGATGTGCTTAACGCACCACATAAAACAGAGTATGAAATCAAACTTTCGGAAAAGGTTGTATACCAACACTGATGTTTACGTTACAGTCTATTGGTAGTATACAAAACATTTTAATGAAAAAAGTAAGTTGACTTTAAGGGTGTTGGGGAGTGACGGAGTAGAATATGGGTAAACAGGTGTTTACATGATAATATCACATATTTTTTCTTGTTTTCAGGTTACATTATGTTTTTAAGTCACTGAAACGTACATTTATTGATATTCACTTTATCAAACACAACATTTGCTCAAATTGTCAAAAACATACCCATGGTGAAATTAAAACAGAAAACAGACCATGTTAAGTAAAAGTTTTGTCCAATACATGTCCGCTATTAAGCAACAAGGCCAGATGATTCCCGAGCTGGTTCTCTTACTATAATCAGGCCTTTGAGAAGCACAGACACGAAGCGATGTGCGATAATTTACCGAGAGACACGAAAAGCGAAATTCCTTTAAAACATGAAGCGAGGCAATATATTCTACCGTAAAGTCTCGTGATATGAGATGCTTCGACATTGCGATGTTTTGTGTTACAATATCGTTTTAGGCTTCGTGACAGCTCGCCCAATTCTACGAGATCCGATATTCCATAATTATAGCATTACCCGGACTCTTTAAGGAACTCATGCAAGTTGTACGTGCTTTTTAATGGCGGAATTTGAAGCAGCAATTTTTGGAAAATGGCAATATTATTTTTATATATTTCTGATGAAAACAAATTACGTGTTGGATGGTCTTCTCATTTTCTTCCTTAAATCATTCAGGGGCCTCCTCGGCCGACCGAGACAAATACTTGCCCCTTAAGCTGTACGTTCGAGACTCTCTCGGGGCGCACACAATAATTGCTCCATTAAAAACGTAATAGCTATCGCGTGCGCACGTTATAGTATCCAATTGCCACGTAATACAATGTAGCTATCACGTCCGCTCGTAAGCACGTAATGAATAAGAAGACTCTATGTCTCTTTTACGCCACCGTAGATACTACCTGCTGTTGCTTAGAATATCTTTAAATAATATATAAAACTTTAAAAACATAAGCATCGGGAAGAAACGTGTCACAATTAACGATAAAGGTGAACTCTGCATAACTGTTTGGGTTCTGAATACTGCACTTGTATACATTTTCAGAACAGGGATATTCTTTAAGTTCATATATGACCCATATGCAGAGGAGGGAAGTTTTTTATTGCCCGGAAGAGACCTTAAAACGTAATTACAGTAAACACAGACCTATGACTGGTAGCCGTTAAACAGACGGGCATAATTATTACCTTTATGAAATTTTAATGGAAGAATGTGAGACAAATGTGCCTCGAGTGTCCTTTCTATTGTGTGTCGAACACATCTGTCTCATTTCCAAATTGTCGCAATTACGAATGTTTACGAGCACATCGGTCACCCGTCGTGAGACAAATGTGCTCCGAGACAAAAGTGCTCCTACACAGCTTCAAATATAATTGGGTATTGTGTATTATTTAGGTTCGAAGATAATTTAAATTTAATAAAAAAAGGTTCTTTCGATAATAAAGAACGTTTTCAAGACAGTGAAATGAAATTAGTTACGTATAATTAGTTAAGTGTAAGTTTTGTGATATGAAATTAGTTACGTGTAATTAGTTAAGTGTAAGTTTTGTCATATAAAATTAGTTACATGTAATAAGTTAAGTGTAAGTTTTGTGATATATTATTAGTTACATGTAATTAGATAGGTGTAAGTTTTATGCAATAACGTAATAACAAGAGAGACGTAGTATAAATTGAGCTTACACATTTCTTTGTGGCTTCGTTTATACTTCACAATTACATTGGTCGAGAATTGATTATCAAGTAGGACACTGAAGATTTTATATCCATCTTTACAAATAACGATTGTGAAGCTAGCACCATATGTTGTCATGAGCTTCATTCTAAAACACGAGCTGTTCAAATGATTTCCAACCATATTGAATAAATTCAATTTGTGATCATTGCAAAATTACATCATATTGTGGTTATTATAATATACATTTTCTTTTAATAAACCAATGAAGAATGAAAGAAAAACATACATGTTTTTGTTGGTCTTTAGGAAATCGCTCTAAGTTTTGGATTTTTCTATTGTGCACAGGAATTGCAATATTCTCAATGCAGGTAAAGTACATAACATGAAATGATTACCAGTTTTAGACAATATGTTCTCGTTCTTAAACTAAACATTTGATGTTTTTTGTGTCTGTTTAACTTTTAGCATGTTTAAAAATTGCTATATTTACCTTTATATTTAAACATATTCATTTTAGCTCGACTGCGAAACAGCTTCTTGCTAGTACTGGTGTCATATGAAGATGTTGTGACACGATACGGGCTCGAACCCATGATCTCTGGGCTGAGAGACAGACACCTTAACCACAATGCCACCACTTTATTTTTTTTTAGTTTAATTAAATAAAGAATAGCATGCGATTTCGATTTAAAGCGTCAAGTTAAATATCCTGTAACTCAAATTTTGTCAATGTTTAATATCGTAAATCTGATGCTCAAATGAAAATTTATCAATATTGTAAGTTTCAAGAAGCATTTTTGTAAAGATATTACCGAATTTAGTATTTTATTTAATAAAGAGAAGTTATTAGAATTTTATATTTTATAAAGTCTACGCCATTTTTTTTTTTCAATAAAAAAATGAATGCAATAATTAAACGTTTAATTAAAATGTATACTACATTTGCTGTTCACATTCAACATATTCTTGGATGTTTGGAAATTGTTTTAGAAGAATAAATATATGCATGTATTAACTTCACTTAAGTGTATGTTATATCCTTAATTACAACATACAGGATCTTTAATGAAAACTTATATGTATACATTAACAATTATAATTATGTATGATCAAATATTGAAAACATTTCAGACTGTTTACAAAGATCAAATTCTTTCTAGAACTCCAAGTGCAGCTGAACCGTTACCTATTAGGTATAGAAACATTAGTTCATTTTATGATTATTATCATTATTCAAGAATGACAACCTAATTTTCATTTGTAGATTCAGTTTGTTTGGCTAGCTTTTTATGTCGGATTGACATATTTTGGTCGTATCAAGGTCAACATAGGCTTTCTTGTATTACTAATTAGCAATGACCAATTTCTCAAATAGTGATCAACTTGAAATCTTACATGATATCTGAATCAGCAGTTTTGCTCCTTGTCGGAGGACCGGACCAGGGACCCTTCAATATAAATCACATGCTCTTCATATTGGTCGAAGTGGGTGGACTTAAATTGTATTTCATTTCCAAAATTTATTTTTGTAAAAAATTCATCATTATACATACGTTAAAATTAAGTATCAAAATTTTGAACGTGTGTAATAGAAACATACTTGCCAGTGAATGAGTATCTTACAAGAATAAATTTACCTAAACAACACTATTTTTCAGAAACATGTACATAATTTGGTTTTAACACGTGTAGGACTCAAGGTGATCTAGTGTGTTTGTTATTTTCTAGACTGACAATTCCTGTTGATTTGGTATACACATGGGTCAATGGCTCAGATCCCAAACATCAAGACATCTTGCGTCGGATGATAGACGTATTGCTAAAAAACCATTCTTTAACAGCTACAAGGTATATTATTCTCTATCTATACTCTCTGTATATATTTATTATGCCATATATGCTCTATCTATACTTTGTATCATAGTTTGGGGACATTTCTGTTGAAAATGTGTCGGAATTAAATCGTATACATATACATGCACAGTGTGTTAACTGGAGTGCAGGTATTAGTTAGCCGCACTCCAGAGCATGCCCATTGATTGGTTCATTTTTGCTGGGGTTTACTTATTGTGACGGAAGAGAAAGGGAAAGCGACAGAAATATCATATTCAGATGCTCGTTCATAGGTTACTCTTTCCCGGGGTTTCATATTATGACAACAGGGAAAGTTTTTTTATGTTTGACTATGATACAAAAGGGAAATAACATCAAAACACTCGGCAATCTGATTAATACTCGGGGGCTTTCGTTACCTATATAATACCATATTACCGTGTTTACTCCAGTGTGTACTCTGTATTCTACATATATATGTGCATATACATACAATCTATACGCAGTCCGCTGCTATGAAAAAATGACCGTAGGTAGTATTTTATCGCGCATGCGCAATCTGCGTAGGGCATAAAGAGCATCGCTCTATATAGAAATGTAGTAGAAGTTGATAGAAAATTTCGTGTTAGTTTAAGGTTAAAATTATATAAAATATCATACAAAATACCTTTAAGCAGAAACACAAAAGATACCTTTATAGCTTTGTGGCCAAACTTGCCATAAAAAGGCATGAAAAAGACGACTGTTTAAGAAATTCCCCTTTCGATCACGGACCTGACATTGAGATAATTGTGAATATTCTATTTATCAGATTAGTGGATACAATAAGAATTTCCCAACAACAAAAAGAGCACATGTTATTGTTTGTGATTAAATCTATTGTTATCCAAATAAAAAGTTAGAGAAAAGATCTATCAATTGTAAACTACCTGTCAAATAACAACTGGTCACGTGACAATTTCTTTAACTCTTACCGATTTGCCAAATCTTTCAAAGACTTTCAAAGGAATACTAATTGTGTTATATGTTTTACATGGGTAATAAAATTTTATCTTCAATACCCTGCTGTTTAAATTTAAATTACTGATGAAAAAGTCATCAAATGATGCGTTGAACACAGGACTTTTGGTCGTTGAATTATAAGTCCTACTAATTTTGTATATCTGTTTCGAATATCAATTCACATTTTAAGTACTTACCGCTTTAATTCACCCTTATTTTTTCTTGTTGGCATAACTTGAAATCATTGTGTGTGTAGTTTATGCTTAATAATTGTCCATCCGCTCGTAAGGGCACAAATGGCAGCTTTCGATGTCGAGTACAGACCCCGGACATATCACCAGTCATGCCCTAAAAGAGTTAATTTTGAAGCCCAAATTGGTGAAAATTTACATCATGAAATTTCTACGGAGTATTAGCCAAGGATATAAATTTTGAGCCAAAAGTAGGTCACTGTACGGCGGTCAATGATAATCTAAATGTACAGTAACCTGTGACCTGAGACAATATAAAGGGTAGCCCTTAAAAGGTCTAATGGTGCCAGCAAAAGGCCTGTCGTTTAAACCGTCTATCTGTGCTAGAGGCTCAAGCACCCTAGCACACCATTTTCGTCGTCTTAGCCTACTTTGAAGGACCACTCCCTCGGAATTAGTCAGAGTATCGGCAGCTGGTCCGCAGTGCAAGTTCTGATTTTTTTGCGCCATCCCAAATCTTCAAGTTTTCTGCCGATGCCATGTGCTTTCTCAGCGACGAGCACGCTCCGAGGGGAAGTGAGAAGTAACTTGAAATATCGTCTTCTAAAGCTGAAATGTAGTCTATCGTTATTGCGCCTTTGCCCTACACAGAATGCGCATGCGCGAATCGCAACATCCGTTTTTATGGAACAATCGTACTGTAAAATGTTCTATACTCTCTATATATTATTTTATAACACGTCTACTCTATTCTTTAAAAAAAAATAAAATATTTTTAATCACAACTGTTTGCGATAGTCATTGAACGACATTTGTTTTCTTATTGTGAAATGTATTGGCAAATTTAATGATTTTATGTATTGATGTTTCTAAAAAATTGCTAATTATATTTAAATACCGTGTACATTGACAAAGACAAAATGGTTCGCTTTTGATTACATACATAAATGTATATAATTGCCAAACAAAGAATCTAGACAAAATTACTCACCTAATCAAACACCCTTTTAGAAAAATTGAAGTGTTACCAGTTATACTTAAAAAAGTCATTTTGGAACAATTTCTCCTTTCTTTTAAGATATACTATGCTCAAATTTGATATTAGAAAATATTGATAATTGCCATACAGTCTCTTTGTAGATATAGAATAAACATGTTTTGACTTCACACAAAGTTCTGTTTAAAATCCTACACACAATATGAATATATACCAGTAGTGTCATTAAAAACTGGCAGTTTTTTTTAAAGAAAGGCCTAAATTTACTTACCCCGTAATATGGAACGCAGCTCCCCATACATAGCTTAATTAGCGTTTTATTCAAATCAGACATATTCGGTAAGAATTTATAGATTTCAATAATATGAATTTCTGTGATCAAAATATTTTACTCAAGGATGTGAATAGTATATCTTTAAGTGAAAGTTTAATTATTGTAAAATGATACCGAAGTATAGAAAATATTTTTGATTTTGTTGTTTTTGTATATCAACATCAGAGCAAGGAACTTGGGGACACATCGTTTTGCTGACAATGATGCACTGAGGTATTCGTTAAGATCGGTGGAAAAACATGCTGATTGGATACGTCACATATTCATAGTGACCAATGGGCAGGTCCCTGGATGGCTTAATTTACGAAATTCGAAAGTTACTATAGTAAATCATGAGGTAAACAACAGTCATTTATGAATTTAGGTAAAAAAATCTCTTTATATATATTTAAGCAAATTTCTGAATATTTTTAGAAATATTCTTCAAGAATAAGGCAGAGTAATTACAAAGTTTGACAAACGTTATCATTATTTCAGGTTTTTTCTGTCCTTTTTTTTACTTTTATGCTTGCGAAAGTTGTTAAACATGTTCAACACAATGTCATAATGGATGCATCTTTTATTCTTTAAAGGACATATTTGATGATCCCGACGATCTCCCGACGTTTAGCTCACATTCTATTGAGCACAACATATATAAAATCAATGGACTTTCTGAGGGATTTATATATATGAATGATGACTTTTTTTTCGGCCAGAACGTATCACTTGAAGATTTCTATACAGAGGATGCTGGTACAAAGGTGAGAAAAAAGCTCATTGTTTCATTGAATATGATAACATAAAACCTTACGTTATGATATTGACAAACCTGAAAGTAATATGCCAAAAGCTTCGACATTTTCAGATTCATTTGCCCGACATCCCCTTTTAAATTACTTCACCGAATTTTCAAACATTTTTCTGACCTGTTAAAGTTCAAGGTCGGCCAGATTTTTCTGACTTTTTGATGGGCACCTTAAGCAGTTATTTCTCCGTCTACGACCTGACATTCCTAAAATATTGTTTACAGCATGACAGAGTTGTGTGCGTACATTTGATTTAACTTAATCTCTTCAATATTTTCAACCACTTATTATTTCTTTATAAATACTTATGCCTTTAAAACTATTATAAAGGTTGTCTTCTCGACATGGACGGCATCAACAGTTTGCGGTGGGAAATGTTCAGCAAATCTAATTAGGAATGGTGTATGTGACACTACATGTAATTACGACCATTGCGCGTGGGACGGAGGTGACTGTGACGAAATTCCTGAAAGACTGAGACCGAAAGATGACGGCACGTCTCATTGTGATTATACAACTTCCATATTCTTTACGAATGCTTTATATAATAGGGTGTTCGGGGCAAGAATTAGGAAAGTCCCTGCACATACGCCACTCTTTATTAAAAAAACTGTGTTTCAAGATTTCGTGAAAAGGTATTTTTATACAATTATTGACTTAGTGAACCATTGAATATGATATGATGTTCAACGGTAGATGATTTATATTTTTCTATTTAATAAAAAGGCAAAAGATAGAAGAAAATCACACAAAAGTAGTTTTGCCTTTATGAAGAAATACAAAAGACAACCTTTTGCTTGTTTTCAATAACGTGTGGGGGAAAACGCACTGTAAATAAGATGACGTCAGGCGTTCGACGACAACGCGTCATTATTCTCTTATTGGGATAAAACAGTAATGATGAATCTTTTCAGGTTTCCAAATGAAATAAAAGCTACAACAAAGAATAAAATAAGAAGTCCCCTAGATTTTCAGTTTGAATTTTCATATGTGTATTTTCAAATGGAAGGCCAGAGTTCTGCAAGGTTAGTAAATTTTCAATGAAAATGTAAATTGTAACTGTACCAATCATAATAGTTTCATGAAAGACTTACATTATGCCTTATTATGTGTTATATTATTATGTCTTACTATGTGTTACATGTATATTATGTCTTATTAAGTGTAACATTATGTTTTAGTATATATTATATTTTTGATCATATTCATTCGTGTTTGACTTAATCGACACATCTATATAGATTTCTATATTTAGCTTGAAATTAGCTATGATATGTTAACTGCTTGGTGCAAAAGGGATTTTACAACATGGAACGCCAAAGCTGCCTCATGTTGTTACATTTCGTTTTATTTTTCCCTAAAAGTGTTTTATTATGTATAAGCTTGCCAACATTTTAATGGAACCTGTCTTAACGAATTCTTATTGGGCCAAATATTCATTTTATCTTTTCAAAACGTAGTGCTGACATGTCTTAACACTGTCTTATTATTTCAAAACGTCATGTTACCATGTGCAAATCCGGTGTTAACATGCCGAATTGAAGTCTTTATATGTTTAACATGCACGCCGTCTTTTCGAATTAAAATGTCATTATGTCTGAACAAAGACTTGTTTAAATGTGGCGTTGAATTGCCTTGAAATTGTCTTATCATATGAAACAGTAGTGTTATCTTGTCGGAAGTTGGTGTCATCTTGTCCAAATGTGATCCTGGTATGTTATGACACTGTTGTATTATGTTATACTGTCGTTTTGTCTTGTCCAAATGTGATATTGACTTGTCTAAACACCGTCACATTTTGTCAGACTGTCATGTCATTGTGTTCAAATTCGGTGTTATCTTGCTCTTTTATGTCAAAATAGCATCCTGTCTTGTCCAAATGTGGTTGTATTTGTCTAGAAATTGTTTTATTATGTGAAACAGTAGTGTTATCTTGTCGGAACATGGTGTCAACTTGTCAAACTCATGTCTTATTTTATCATGCAACTGCTATGGTAACTGCCCGATAACACTTGCCTGATAAATATTTTTGATATCAGGTCAGTAACCTGATATCAAAAATTAGCCCCGCCCATTTTAACGGACTTTTTTCAATTGCTTAATATATTCTCATTTTCATCAGCATGTAAATTCTACAATGTAATCTTATACCCTTACAAGTCTTGAATCAAAATGCGATATTTAATTATTTATTAATTATTTCGATTTCAATTACGAATAAATTAGATAGCGAATAGTTTTAGACCAACAAAATGAAGTTACGTCATAATTTATATTGCAAATGACATCATCGATCGATGTTCACGTCATACTATACATGTAATCATAACAAACAGGCTGGGCGATTTTCTTTGAGAACTTGTAAATGTTTATTTTATTTCGCCGGATTATTATTTAATAAGTGAACAAATTGTTTTGTTTAAAAAATAAGACTCATGTTTGTGTAGCTTGTGTTTGATTGCCGATTTGACTTTTCATTGATTGAAATTACTGTGAACTTTTGAATTTGACAATTCAAGACAAACATTGCAGTAAAGTTTAGTTTATGTGATTCTAAGGGGATTTTTGGATCGATGTTTAAATTAAAGGTAAGAATTTTATCGTATTTGGCCTACATTCTGTGAGTCGAAAGAAAAAATGGCCGCCATTTACAAATTCTAAGTTTCAGGGGCGGAGGAATTTGTTTTCAAGAATTATTTCTTTGAACAAAAAATTAAAAATCCCCCTTTTTAACGAAATTCGCTATTTAAATGTAGATTATTTTGTTATTATGACAGTTATTATGTAATACATGATAAATAGAAAAACATGCTACTGTCTTTTGATATCAATTTTATCAGGCTCGGCTGATATGGGCAGAAAGGGCTCGGCAAGCCTCGCCCTTTCTAGCCCATATCAGCGTCGCCTGATAAAATTGATATCAAAAGACAGTAGCATGTTATTCTCTATATGTCGGCTAGTAGTGATATCTTGTTCAACCGTTATAATAACCTGGCTGAGTGCTGTCCTGTTTTGTCAAACTGTTTTGTTGCTTTGTATGAGGTGGTGTTATTCTGTCTAATTGTGCCAAAACAACATGTTGTCTTGTCTAAAACTGTTGTTATCCTGTCTAAAAATATAGTTATTATCTAAAATACTAATGTTGACTTGCCAATAAATTTTGTTTGTTTGTGTAAACGTTAGTTTATTACGTCAAACAGTATTGTTGACTTGTCGAAAGATGGCATTGACATGTCTAAGCACTGTCTTATTTGCTCAGATCGCCATGCTATTTTCTTCAAACTTTATGTAAACCGGCCTAAACACCGTCTTATTATGTGAAATAATGGTGGTATCTTTACAAATTATGGTTATGAAATGTTAAAACGCTGTTTTTATTTGTCAAACGGTCATGCTATTATGTCCAAATGCAGATTCAACTTGTCTATCTTCGTCTTATTATGTCAAATAGTCATATCATCTTGTCGAAACGTGATGATGTCTTGTCTAAAATTTCTATCTTTTTGTCAAAGTGTCATTTTATGTCTAAATGCCGTCTCATTATGTCAGATAATCGTGTTATCCTGTCCAGAGGCGATGTTCTTAAAATTTAGTATCACGTGGCAAGAGCACGTGCGGAGCAATAAAAGATAAAGCAGAAAGGATAACGGGAGAGTTAAGCAAAATCAGACAGCGCTTTCTCAAGACAAAACTAAATTTGAAGACATTTACACAATTATCAGACATAGTAAGACTGTTTCTGTGTTTTACAAGAAAACATCAAAGTTCGACAATATAACACTTCTGTTTTACATTCATAAGAAAGAGTTTGGGCAAGTCATTACCACATTTCGACAATATACCGCAATATTTTGATAAGACTGAGTTTTAACCTGTCAAAACTGCTTTTTGACAAAATAGCATAAAGTTTATCATAATATGGAATGATTTAGCCCAGTCAAAACCCCATCTCGGCAAGATAATTCGAATATTTGATATAAAAGACAATTCGGTAGTGTATGTTGGCAAATTAACACAGTTGTTTGACACAATAAGACAATGTTTAGGCATTTAAACACCGTATTTTGACAAAATAATATGACAGTTTGATAAAATAAAGCTGTGCTTTTACAAGTCAACACCAAATTTCGACAACAGAACACTACTGGTTTCAAATGACCAGACAGTCTTTTGAAAAAAAAAAACAGCCCCACAATTTGACCAAATAGCGCGACTACTTGACATTATATGACACATTTCAGACAAGCCAAAACGACATTTTTGACATGATAACACAACTGTTTGAAATAATTAAACAATGTTAACACAAGTCAGCACCGCATTTAAAATAGATTAGGTTACTGTTACGCATAATAAGGCAATGTTTGGACAAGTCGACAAATTACAATGGCATTACAACGCTTATATTTGACATAATAAGACGCTTTCTGGGCAAGATAAAAAGAAATGTTATAACATGAGGCAGCTATGGCGTTCCATAACAACATCTTTATGTCATATGAGCACTAAGCCCGCGATATGTTGCGCCAAGCCAGACATACACAACCATTATCGTCCAATTAATAATTCTGAGAAATATGACGTCAAAGTTGGTGATGACGTATAAGATGGCGGTTTCCGTATTTTAACATGAAAAATTATAACATCAAAAACTTGGACACACATATTGAATAATTACGACATATGTCATGTATTGAAACTAATTTACAGGTATTCTGACATAAGTTATACACATCTGAACATTTGAAACGCACGCTCTTGAAACGAAATATTTATTGCACTTCTTCGACATAATAAGTGATAATTGATAGAAGAAACCTTTTTTTTTATTTCGATCAAGAGCAACTTTTTTATTCTAATGAAGTTACAAAACAGTTATGCAATATGAATAAATGTTCTTTAAACATTAAAATTCAATAAGCGTCGTGACAGTTTGCCATGTTAATCTCATTGCACGTAGTTATGATAACAAAAAATGCTCCATTTTAGGTTTAAGGCATTTTATTCAAGTTCGTTGTATTCATTCGTTATGCTTTTTGCGAACGAAGACAAAGCACGGAAGGACTTGGACATGCTCCGAAAAACGAAAAAGTAATTACTCTCATTTTACCCTATTTTTATACGTACACCTACTGTAAATAAATATTTCTATGCATATGTTTGTTTTGGTACAAGAGTATGTTGTCAGGTTGAACACAAATACTCGTTGATTATGTCACACTGTATTACTTACAACAAAAATGTATACAGAAGAAGAGTATAACGTCTTGTGATTTCTTTTGCTAGGTCCGCTCATTTCAGAGGTGTCGAAAAGAGATTTTTAAAAGCGAATTTAAAAAATGTAAACTTCACCCTGAGAGTGTAAACAAAAATGTTTCAAATTATGTTTCGATATATAAAATATAATATGCTTTTACTAGATTTTTTCTTCAGGAAATTCATTTGCTTAAATGACGACATAGACTACAAAAAGACACGTGAGGCACAGGTTACTGTTCGTTTATTGCACGAGTTCTACGAGGCAATGTTTCCAAAACGATCATCATTCGAAATCGTTGATTGAAAAGAAGAGAGGAAAATCAGTTGCTTATGGATTTGTTAACATACATTATGGTTCATGGTTAAACTTATAGCATGTCAATGGCAAATTTATTCTATTATCGTTGTTGTTGTTGTTGTTGTAAAGATTTTAAGAACATGTGTTTTGTCAAAAAAACAAATGAGCTGCGTCATGACAGACAAAACCAGCATAATGGATTTTCGGCCAGCATCCGCGCAGTCTGATCAGGATCATGCTTTTCGCTTACTGACCCTATAACAATTAGAGAAACTGATAACGAACAGCATGGATCCTGATCAGACTGCGCGGATGCTGGTCGCAAACGCACTATGTTGGTTTTGTCTTGACAAGGCTCAAATGATTTTCAAAAAAAGAGAGATCAAAGGTTAAACGAAACGATACCCACAGACATATTGTATCCACGTGGTGTTAAACGAGCGAAAATGTAAAAGAACTCAGTAAAGCTATATTTTATTTTTTTTTTTTTTTTTTTGGCAATGTTTTTTTTTCTTTTCCTTTTTTCAGGTCCTGGCGTGTGCTGTTAATTACATGTACCATTTACTTCAGTTTAAAGTATTTATTTGTAAAAGGGATTTCACTGAGGTTTTACATAAAGGCTCTGGAGATATTGTTTTCGATATTTCTGTAACATTTGATGTAGATCTTGAGCAATAACTTTAGCGCGGAATTTCATATCATTCTCTCAACCCGTCTTCTTATAAATAATTATTGCAATGCTTTTCACTCAAACTAACTAAATATTGTGTAAAAAATCGATATTCAGATTAAAGTCTTTTGCTGTTTTGTCCGTGTTAAAGTTAATCTAATGAATTCTGTGTAATTATTTTTTTGTGTTAGCCTGTTCGGACCTCAGTGGAGTTTCTTTAAGAATTACTTGTTATATATTTTTTGGATTTAATAGGTATCTTATGATTCGCAATTACTTCTTTGTACTTTTTGCTTTGCCAGCTGTTGCCAGTCGTATTGAAATTGTTTTAATTGAATCGGTTGAAGTAATGTCTAATCAACAGAACGACAATGAAATTCCTAATATTCCTATCAATGGGTGTAAATTGCATGCAACAGACCGCGGTATAATTAAAGGTTCATTACTAATGTGTGTCCATCGTAAAATATGTTATGTTATGTTGTCTTATATTATACAATTTTGAAGAGTGAGTCATTGAATATGATGTGATATTCACCCGCATATTGACTGAGGCGATAACAGAGGTCATTATGACTTTCTGTCGGTGAATATCACGTCATTTTAAATGGCTCACCAGTCAATAATTGTTTTTGTATATGAATAGGCAAAATCACAAAAAGTGCAACCTTATATACATGATTGTACAAATTTGTCTCGTTGAAGCGCGAGAAAAAGACGCACGTGTTAGGCGCTCAACGACTACGCGAACGCTGGCATACAAAAGCAATTCAAGTTTGTACGCATCATTAATACACTTGTTACTATATATAGTAACAAAATTGCCTGTGATTTCAACTGATTATGAGTGTCACGTGACCGATTATGAGTTTGCGGCCCGGGGCCGAGAACTAGTTATCAGCCCGCAGAACATGTGCACGTGCACAAATTGAAACAATGACGTCATATTTTACGTCATCAAACAGTTTACTGTAAAAGTGAAAGTAGGTTGTCAGCACGAATCGCTTTATTTTCATTATGAGAGCTTATACGTATTGAGTACAAACACATTTTTGTTACTATTGAAATTTGAAGAAATAATACGACAAATTCATTCCGAAAAAAATGAAAATAAAACTTGCTTCTAGATTCTACTGCTTTGAACACACAAACAGTAAACATCTCTGTGCAGAACAGTAGAAGAGCAGACAAGAATTTCAACGAAGAACTTTTTGTTGTTGTTTTTTTAATGCTACTATTAGATCTACCAAGTGTATTAAAGACATTAATACACGTCAGAGTAGGGCCGGAAGGTGATAATCGGCCCTGAATGAATAATGGCCCTCGGGCTAAAGCCCTCGGGTCCATTATTCATTTTGCGGGCCGATTATCTCCGTCCGGCCCTCTCCTGCCGTGTATTAACCTCTTATTACTGTATACTTAAAAGCTACACTTTAAAACACTTTAAAATATCATTTCTTTACTATTATATAAAATGATATTTTATTGGAGAAATATGCCATATTATATTCATCTGTAAAGAACAAAACGCAATAAACACGCGTAATTAACAGTCTACGGTGTATTGTAATTGAATATGAGTCATCATCTATTTTAAGACTGAGAAAATCCAATTCAGCCATTGAATATGATACTACGACCGGTGGATATGATTTTATAAAAAAGTTCTGTTGAATACTGTTTGGATCAATGAGATTGCAGCTATATAAAGATCATGTTATAAATTTTGATACTTTATTGAAAAGTTTTACAGTTTATTTTAATTCATGAATTTATACATACATAGCGCATCGTCATACATAAGAATTTTCATACATAACACTATTCATGTTTCTAGTTCAAAGGTCATGAACTTTGATTAAATGGCAGTTTTATGCTTTTTGTTACTACTGGTCCAAATGGGTTTCTCTTTACGGAAACAGGAAGATCTTATCAAGGTATATTCGTAAAAAGTTTAAAGATCTTAGGTCAATGCATTTTGCTTGATGACCGGTATTCTCAGTGACATTGACCTTTAACCTATTAAGCTAAAAGTGGATGTGACAGGTAAATCTTGATTATGGGGCATCCACATACATATAAAGTTTCAATGAAGTTGCTTTTTATGTATTGACTATTCCTTCGAAGACATTTTACGCGAGGTGTTACAGTGCCTACAACCTCGCTTGTACTTTTTTCTAATTCAAATAAAGAATAACTTTATCTCTGATTTAAAGAATTCGAAAAAACGTGTTCGGGCTGTCTTATTATACTGACATATATACAAGAATTGTAAAGCTAACGGTGGCTTTCGCTCTCATTTAGTAAGAAAACCAAGTTCAATGAAACACATTTATTATCGGTTTTCTGTAAAACCTATCATAGTTACATAAAGAATATATTTGTGTCAGACATTATAGAGATCAAAGAAACCGCGTAGCGCCATAAAATGTAATCAATATTTTGTGAACAACTGTTACATAATTAAATTATAAATGTCATTTTTAACTTGTAACAGTTGTTAGAAAGTTAACCCATCCTTATAATCCAGACCACGTGTGTCATGTGTTCGACAATTCAGTGACAATGGTTTTAAGAATAACTTTTAACAAACAATGTAATAAACACATCGACCAGAAGTAATTTGACCATAAATACGCATAGCAGCAACACTTTTATTTAAAAAAAAAACAACACACACACATAAATGATAAACGTTGTACAGGATAATTAATCAGTAAATTGAATATCAAACTATAAATGTAAATAGAATGACACTCATTTGATGAATAGCACCAATGATCACGTCAATAGCTGATAATAAAGACGTTTACTTTATTTTTTCACTAGATGAATACAAAAAATGATTTGTGAAATAAGATCGGCGAAATGTATATCAAAAATTTGGCATTCTAAGAATCTTCAGAAAATTCACATACAAATTAAGCATGTGCTTAAGAGCAATCTTACGCTTTTCTAAATTTTGAATATATAATTTTTAGATAATCGTTTCAAATGATTGTCTAACCATATGATAATTTTCATACCACAAGATGAAAATAAATCCTGTATTTACAGAATAAATTTTCTTTTTACAGTACTTTTTTTCTTTTTTGACATAAAACGTAGGATAATGCACTTTGTATTGCCATTTGAAGAAAATTTCCGTGCATATGATACGCTAGGCTTTGTTTTGATTTAAGAAATGTTTGTCACCTTAATTTAACATAATAAGGTACTTATCTGGACTCAGCAGCCGCTATTTTCTCGTGGGTATTACTATACAAAGTCACGTGATCCCCCCTCCCACGTGATTTCGTCAAGTGAATCCGTATTAATTTTTGAATGTTCAAAGTAATAGTTATAGAATATATACGAAGACTTTACCGGCTGGTTATCAGCGCATGGGGCGATGCCGTTGAAGGAACTGGGCATTAATAACCATTTCACGAGGTAAGTTGATGCATTTTTTCTAAATGCGAAATAGTAATCATCTTTCCAGCTCATTTTCAAAATATAATCTAGGACATATTGTCGATAAGTATCCCGGTGTATATTTCAGAGGTATATCTTGTACGCGTTTCTTTTTAAAACTAACAGTGTAGTGATTTTTATTTAAAGGCACATTATGCCTCAGAATGTTTAATCATGTTTTAATAATGGATTGAGAACATGTAGGATAATTAACAACTGAAGAAAGTAGTGCTGAATGTGCAGTAATGTGTTGTAAAGGTAGCAAAATGTAAATAATTAGTATTTTGACTTCCAAACAAAAACTGATTCATTATAATTATAACGTTACCAATTGCCAGCAAAGCAAATGTATAAAGATAGTTCATTTATATGGCAGATAATTATTTTTTGTGAAACTGTAACAAGACACCAAATATTTAAAATTTTGTGAAATAAAATTATTTCTAACGCATAATGTGCCTTTAACACTACTTCCATCTATTAATAATTACGCTAGAATATTATGTTCATATACGTGTAGTGATTTACTGAATGTTTTACTGGTCAGAATCTCCTGCTAATAAAGTAAAAAAAGAGTAATTTGATCATTGTTTCAGATTTGTCCTCGAGGTCAGGATGCAGAAAATGGCGATTACTTTCCACTGGAGTCAACATCTTTATAATAACTGCATTTTCAGGTTTTGAAAAAAAAAATCGAGATGATATATAAAATTTTTTTAAAAAAGTTCTGTAACTTGTGTAATGTTTTGTTTTGCCCTTTTTCAGGTATGCTCACTTTATTATTTGAAATAGATAATAAACTGGGCATGCGCGAGAAAGTGCCAAAGTTTTCCGATACTGAAATTTAGAGAACGCCTATCTTCAAAGGAAAGTTGTGGCGGTCATGCGATAACATTCGGTTTCACTTTGCAAAAGAAATACTGATGCTTTATTAAAACGACCCTTTATGTATGTGTAAGGCCGCGTCTACACCTATTCATGTTTCTTACATGTCACATTAAGATAAGCTAAATAAATGGCCCTTACAACAAATAATTAGGCACAACTTTTACTGAAATGTCTCATTAAGATTGCCCAGGATTTATACCTTTGTCTTTGCAATACTATCATGTTTCCGTAAAATATGTGAATAAAAAAAGCGGGAAAATTAGCTAAAACAATGGAGTAAATGAAATGCGTACATTCTTTAAAAAATAGAAAATGTGAGAAAAAATTCATTTTGATGCAAAGTCTTTATATGATGAAAATTATTCACTAAATGAACAAGATCATTTAAAACCCATTTTGACTCACTTTGAAAAACAAATCTTTTTTTTTTATTTCTTTTTAAGTAATTAATTAATTAATTAATACAAGTATTTGCTTTTCTGAAACTGTGTATCAGCGTATTGATTTGTTCCTTTGACCAAGAAATTAAAAACATAATAATTTTACTGAAATTCACACGTCATGTACACTGATTCAACAACAAAAAAGTCAAAAAATAATAAAATTAACAGCACTATCACACATTTGGGCACTTGTTTTGTGTCAAACTGGTGTTATCCGTATCTTGACAGCCAAAAACTTGTAGAAAAATAGAACCTGTTTTAATTTTCTTGCAAGAAATTATCTTCTTGGATGTCACATAATTTCTCTTTAAAAACCATTCACGTAGGGTGTCTACATTATCCAATACAAGAGAATATGATACTTGCATTCAAGACTTGGATAGGTGTAGAGGCGGCGTTACTCAGTCACTAGAATAAGCGGGCACTACGCTTTATCTTTTCTATAATACATGTATTACATTTTTTTCTTGCACAAAGTGTTTTCACATAGGATGAAAGGCACTCATAACTTTTAATAAAATCCTGTTCTGTCTTTTGTGCCTTATTTGACTGTCTCAAAAATTTATGTACTATGTATAATAACCTCATAGTTTCCCCATGGTCACATGGTCATCTCTATAATCTCGGTCATGGTTTTCACTATTATGCTCCGATTATGCTTCAGAAATGTTGTTTTTTGTTTCTCAAAAGTGTTAAATTTTCGTGTACTTTTATAGTCTTCAAAAAATTATTCCATGGTCAGTTACTTGACTCATCCCTTTTCATCTGTTGCTTTTTGGCAATAAATACAGTTATAGTAAAATACATGTAATATATTGTATGGAAATCAAAATATTGCTTTGTTTACATTTTGTTAACATTTTAATACTTTTGCAGCAAACCTTTTCACATTCATCGTTATTTTCTTCAGGTAAAAAGCCTCTAACATTCTTTTAAATTATTATTAAAACATTACAAACTTCAATATTTAATTGTTTCTGTGGCAAAATGTGCCGTTAAACATTATTTATGCAAAGCTGTTTCGAGGGTTTCTTCAGATAATGATAAGCATAATCTAATATAGCTGCTCCTTTAAACCTATTATTACAAGTTTCAACAGAATATATATTACAATCTTCATAGAATTTATTCTTCAAATAATTAAATCTTCCAGGAGTTAAATGAGGATTGACAACAAACGGATATACAAAGAATGTGTCCTCACAAGCTAAACTATCTGAGAATTAACAACCACAACATATCATGTATACATAAACAGAAAGAGAACGGACAGACGAACGAAAAGACAGAAAGAGAGTTAGGCAAATAAACAGATAGGCAGCAAGGTAGACGAACAAAGATGGACAAACGGGCAAGAAAACAATAAACGGACTGACTGATGGACAATGACTTGTTGCAAGACAAACAGAAAATCTTATTTCTATTGTATCGAAACTTTATATCTTGTCGTTATATTTATTTAAAAAAATCAATAAAACATTTTAATTTGTATTACATAAATAAGGATCTTACGGAAGCGTCCTGGTGCCAATTTAACATGTTCTATAAAAAAAAGATAACTCCTACGTAGGACTTTGTCACTCCTACGTAGGACTTTATAACTTCCACGTTGGAGATAAAAAGCCTAATTAGGAGTTTATAACTCCTACGTAGGACTTTGTAGGCCCTACGTAGGACTTTATTAGTTATAAGTAGGACTTTATAACTCCTATGTAGGAGATATCAAAACCTAATTAGGAGTTTTGAAGTCCTACGTAGGACTTACAAACTCCTATGTAGGACATTAAAAAAGCCTGCGTAGGACTTTATAATTCCGACGTAGGACTTTATAAGTCCTATATAGGAGATAAAAACCTAATAAGGAGTTTTAAAGTCTTACGTAGGAGTTTAAAAGTCCTACGCAGGAGTTTATAACTCCTACGAAGGACTTTATAAGCGTTTTTCTACGAAGGAGTTATAAAGTCCTACGTAGGAGTTATCAACTCCCAATTAGGCATATTTATCTCCTACGTAGGAGTAACAAAGTCCTATGTATGAGTTTAAAAGTCCAACGTAGGAGTTATAAAGTTCTACGTAGGAGTTAAAAAGCCCTACGTAGGAGTTTAAAAGTCCTACGTAGAAGTTATTAAGCCCTACGTAGGAGTTATAAACTCCTAATTAGGCTTTTTTATCTTCTAAGTAGGAGTTACAAATTCCTTCGTAAGACTTATAAAGTCCTACGTAGGAGTTATAAACTCCTAATTATGCTTTTCTATCTCCTACGTAAGTGTTTTCAAATTTAATAGAACATATTAAATTGGCACCAGGACGCTTCCGTATGGTCTCTATAAACAAGATACGTTCGGCAACCAATTAATACGGAAGCGTCCTGGTGCCAATTTAACATGTTCTATAAAAAAAGATAACTCCTGCGTAGGAGATAAAAAAGCCTAATTAGAAGTTTAAAACTCCTACTTAGGACTTTTTAACTCCTACTTAGGACTTTGTTACTCCTATGTAGGACTTTATTACTCCTACGTAGGACTTTTTCACTCCTACGTAGGACTTTGTTAGTCCTACGTAGGACTTTGTAACTCCTACGTAGGAGATAAAAAGATAAATTAGGAGTTTACAACTCCTACGTAGGACTTTACAACTCCTATGCAGAAGAACACTAATAAAGTCCTACGTAGGACTTTTAAACTCCTACGTAGGACTTTATAACTCCTACGTAGGACTTTAACCTCTTCGTAGGATTTTTAACTCCTATGTGGAACTTTGTTAGTCTTACGTAGGACTTTGTAACTCCTACGTAGGAGATAAAAAAGCCAAATTAGGAGTTTTTTACTCCTACGTAGGATTTTATAACTCCTACGTAGAAGAACACTTATAAAGTCATACGTAGGAGTTATAAACACATACGTATGCTTTTTATCTCCTATGTAGGAGTTTAAAAGTCCTACGTAGGAGTTTATAACTCCTATGTAGGACTTTATAAGTGTTCTTCTACGTAGGAGTTATAAAGTCCTACGTAGGAGTTATAAACTCCTAATTAGGCTTTTCTATATCCTACATAGGAGTTTTCAAACTTTATAGGACATGTTAAATTGGCACCAGGACGCTTCCGTAGGATCTCTATAAACAAGATACGTTCGGCAACTCCTACGTTTGACTTTTGTAACTCCTACGTAGGACTTAATAAGTCCTACGTAATAGATAAAAAAGCCTAATTAGAAGTTTAGAACTCCTACGTAGGACTTTTTAACTCCTACGTAGGACTTGGTTACTCCTATGTAGGACTCGGTAACTCAAACGTAGAACTTTATAACTCCTACGTAGAACTTAAGGGAGTTTATTACTCCTACGTAGGATTTTATAACTCCTACGTAGAAGAACATTTAAAAGTCCTACGTAGGTGTTATAAACACCTACGAATGACTTTTAAACTCCTATGTAGGACTTTAAAACTCTTTTTTTTCAAGAGTTATCTTTCTTTAAACTTATAATTTTACTTAACAAACTTCTCTTTGCTTTTATCATTTTTGTTTTTGTTTTCGTAGTTTTGTTTTCTTTACTGAGTCTAGTATTTAATTGGTCGACCTTCGCTGTCTCCTGTGACAGTTCTTTTAATACTTACAAAGTCAATGTGACTTTGACCTTAGGCCCTTAAATCAACAGGGGTTATCTACTTGCCAACAAGAATGCACCTGTGAAGTTTAAAGGTAAAGTTGTTGAGATATAGATCCATTAGGTCAATGTGATATTGACTCTGACCCCTTCACCCAAAAATACATTGAAGTCATTTGTTGACTTGACCAAAAGAAATGTATTTGTAAAAGTTTGAAGGTCAAGGGCCCATTGCTGTTGGGTAATTGATAAGAAACTGTTTTGAAATACAATGTCAATGTGACCTTAACCTTTAACCCCCTGACCCAAAAATCATTAGGGTTATAAACTGGTCAAATACCAATGCAATTATGCAGTTTGAGGACCAACAGCCTACGGGTTGTTAGGTAATTGATTGGAAACCGTTTTCACCTACAAGACCAATGTGATCGTGACCTTTTACCCCTTGATCCATAAATCAAAAGGAGTTTCCTACTGGCCAAGACCAGCGCACTATGCAGTTTTAAGGTCAAATTCTCATGAGTTGTCAGGTTATTGATCGGAAACCATCTTCACCTACAAGGTCATTGTGACCTTTGACCCCTTGACCCACATAAATATATAGGAGTCATCTTCTGGTCATGAACAATCACAATATCAAGTTTGAATTTCCTAGACCTAAGCGTTCTTTAGTTGTTGATCAGAACCATTTGGTCTACGGACAAATCAACCTACAGACAGACAACTGCATAGCAATATACCCCCACTTCTATGAAGGGGGCATAAAAAGGCAACAGTTACTCTGAATACAGCACCTCATCAAAGTTTGGAACACTATGCGGTGAACAGCATCGAATGAATGAATCCGTAGACGCTGGCTCGGCTTGAACATATATAGCGGTGAGAGGCAAATGGTTTGAACTCAACGACCTTATCCTTTCGGCCACGATCACCCCTACATGCAAAATCAACCCAGGCACCGGAAGTCTGCACATAAATAAGAACCACAGACAACTGGTAGACATGTCAGCAAATAAAGACTTGATTACAGTATAAACAAATTTTTAAGATTTATTTTTGGCGAACTCTCGCTGTGATGACAGAAATAAATAAATTCATATCAACAATGAACTATAAATAAAAAACATTGTTAGTAAACAAAACAGGGAAAACTAATAAATCGATAACTATGGCATAGAATTTTAACTATGTCATTATCTTAATTCACATAGAAGTTAAAATAAAGGCCAATCAAGGTAGAAAACGTCAAATTTATGCGAACTCAAGTTGTGTAAATTAATCGAATAGCACCAGTCATATTTTGTCACTCTAGAAGAATTATATATCTATTTTAAATGACCTTAACTCATGAACATCCGGTGTAATCTCTGATGTAGATGTCATTTCCTGTTTTATATATAAATGTGATAAAGAAGTCTCTGAGATCTTTGCTTTTAATTTTGGAAATAATTTTTTGATAGTCAATTGTTTCTCAATGTCGGCACAATTGTCATTTAATGACGCATATCCGCAATGAATTGGTTTCCGGTGTAGTACTAGACTGGTTGAATTGTATTCTAAATTATTTTTTACAAGATTACGAAACCCGACTATTGACACGTCACATGGGAGTTCCGCTGATTTTAAAGGATGTACTTTTGTCATAAGTTTTAATTCAGTGTCTTGAATATTATACACTATAACATTGTTTTGGAGCATATCGTTTAACAGTATGCTGTCTTCTGAAGCATAAGTATATCTGAATTCGTCTGCTTTAAAAGGGTGTGTTTTGTGTTCGATCTGGATGATAAAGTCACTATTTACTCGGACATTATCGTAAACGCCTTGTCCGAGACCTCGTTTGTCGTCTCTAAATGTATGACGGTCGAGCATAACCTCAAATTGTCCAGATTTCAAACAAGCGCCACCATGCGGCTGCTTTGAATGCAATGTTACCCGTTTATAAATGTCCTCAAACAGTGCCATTGTTGTGATTGGGTAATAATTTGATTCAATTTTGTCGCTTGGTCTGTTTATTCGGCCAATAAGCTGAAAACCATTCTGATCGGTGAAGAAGTTGTCACCATTTTTAATGTCAGTGTTGAATCTCAAAATCACTTCCATTTCCTTCATATTCACAGCGGCCATGTCAACTTCCGTTTTCACATGAACACCCAGACCTTGCATACCGGATGTATTATAGAGCCTAAAGCTAAGTAAAAATCCCGAAGTTGTGACCTTGACCTCGGAGTATAACGGACCTTTTTTAACTGTGACTTTCTTTTCACCAACCATGAACGCTTGCGCTGGTCCAGAGGGTCCAAAAATATACGCACCACTTGTTTTAGATTGATAAACCATAAACTGTGCCGTTATATTTGTGACTTTACCGTTATTTTTATGAAGAATTCTCTTCATCATCCCGGTTTTCTTATCAAATTCAACTTTCAAATGTGTATTTTCTATCTCCATCACATCTTCGTTCTCCGACGGAATTCTTTCATTAACTTCAAACTTTTCCGCAGCACCACGTTCCGTCGTTATAGTGTACACTTCTATTCCAAGGGCAGGTAACTCTGTTTCAAAGCTCAGTAGAAATGGCTCGTTTCCGGTTGCGTTATTTAAAGAACTCGTGATTTGATATGGAATATTCTTCTTTGTTGGGGATGCAATAACAATATCTTTAGTTTGAACAAATATGTTTATAACTTCTTTTCGTCTTCTAGCTAAGGGATTTATCAATACCATCTTGGCATCTTTATTTGTATCAAATATTATTTTACCAGCCATTTTTTTGCTTGCAGGTTTCACTGTTTCCTCCATTAGCAGTTTTGGATTGAATTGCTTCCCTTTGCTAAGAAGAGTAAGGACGGCCATTTTGAAGGCATTGTGTGCGTCTTCGTTAGCTGTAAACAATCTTCGCTCGTAATCTTCTACAACATGAGGTAATGATGTCCCTAGAAACACAAAGAAATAATAAAATAAATTTTATAATTTGAGGTATTTATTATTATGTTTTGAACGTATGGGCTTGAAATTTAAATCAGATTTTGACATAAGCAATCATGCAACCTGATTTATCATATTTCACGTTAAAACTTATTAGATTTAAAACTACGCAAATAAATGTTTAATATATACACTGATGAATCTTAAAAGTGGAAACAGAATTATCACACACGTCACGTTACACAAATACGAACGTTCTGAGCCAAATACTTGTAGTATCGATAACAATAAGTGCCGAAACATTTGGTGTAAAGGCGTTTAAACTCTAATGTCAAAAATGAACTTGACTTGATCGGACAAAACTTTTGCTGTTAAGACCAATATAATTGAATATATAATGCGAATATTTGGAAAACTGATGTACTAAAAGTACTTATGTTACTTTGAAAGACAACTTCATATCAGAACAGTATCTAGAATTAGATTTGAGTACAACGAATGCTCAGTGTTTATAATGAATGAAATGGGACGTTATGTCAGTGAATCACTAGATCAGAGATTGTCGTCTGTTCTGTAACGAGCATGAAATAGAAGATGAAATGCACTTGTAACTTACTTTAATGTTAATTTATAATGATATCAGAAGTCATTTCCATATACACAATTTACGAATAATATTTTATGAACATATACGATTATGTCAAAATGAATTAATTGTCACAAACTACCCAAGAAAAAGAAGCTGGATTCCTTGTACACGCTTATCTAAAATGACCAAAATTCTTTGATAGTTAAAATGGTTTTATATATCATATGACAGCATATTTTTATCAGTTAACTTTTTATTAGCATACTAGAATGGAAAAAGTTATATTTTTCCTGCGTAATAGTACAAACATGGGCCGCCCTTCGTGATTAAATTTATTTGCATTTGAACTCAAACCGTACATTATTCTACAACACAACGCCGAGTGGGGCCTTAGGCCCCGTAAGGGCTGTAGCGCTCTTAGATAACATGTATGATGTGTAAGTTAAATTAATATTAAATTAAAAGAAATCAAAAATATATTTGCCAAAATCCAACGTGTTTGACAAATATCCTTAGTTAGATGAGCGCAGCCATTTTGAAAATCTTTGACTTGTTCTATATTTGAGCTATAATTAAATTTCAGAACGCTTTTGAATAAACATGTAATATGCGCCTACAAGATATAAGACCCGGCGGTCTAATGTCCTAAATTACACTACTGTGGAAATATAATGTACAAAAAGTTGAAAACAAGTATTAATTAGTCATCACGTTAACTAAGGTATAACAACAAAACAAAAATGGCGGACATGATATTCGGAAATATTCGCCATACTCAGATGATAGGTTGAACACGACAGATTCATTCGTATCTAATTAACGATACAATATACATGTTTTTTACTCATTATTTACAAAGTCCAATACAGATCTGGTTTTTATATTGAAAACCTTATGCTTGTTAATTATCAAATCATTTGGATTTTTCGCGTCATGAGTAGCATCTAATTTCATATTTTTTATTTACATGACATTTGCTTCAATGCTCATCTATATTTCATTAATGATTAAATTATAAGCTAGTCATTTGGGAGGTAACATATAAAAATTCGCGATACGCACTCATAAATCTAGTATTCGCTTTTCCGGATTCTGCTTAATAAGATAAAATATGCATTTGTTTCATAACTGGCTGACAATTGATGATATGTATTGCTTTAAGGTTTCATCATGACTATAATAAACTAAGGATAAAGGCAATAAAGTGAAAATATTTTTGAAAAACCACCAATATTATAATCACTTGACGGTAGAAAGTCTTACAGACGAATATGTTAACACCAATATGAACGCTCAAACAATTTTTGTGAAATGTAGATTATGAGTTATTTCCCTTTTTGTGTTGCCCCTAAAGAGTAGTGGCGACATAAAGGGGTCACTTCTCCGTCGTTTGTCTATCTATCTGTCCGTCTGTAACAAAACTTGTCCGAGCTACTCCACAAAACCACAAAAACAACATAAACTTTACAAGAATGATAAGTACCAAGTCTAGTTGTGCATAATGTCTGCATTTTCCGGTTTAATGATTTGTGTCAGAGTAATGACACTTTAATTATTTTTAAAGTTTGTCCGGACTACTCCTTTTATTCCGCTAATATAATTTCAATGAAACTTTACAAGATTGGCCAGTAGCTCAGGTACTTTATTGCCTTATTTTGTCCAATTATATTTTTTCTTAAATTATAATATGATATAATTACCTGTTATTCCATCATGGTGCATAAACATTCCTAGTTCTCGTCTGGCTGCCCGTAAATGTTTTGAGATGTCGTCATATGCCCTGTATTTTACACCATAGTGTTTGAATAAAGAAAACGCTATGACGTTAAAAATGTCGGCTGCTCTCGTTAACGTCTCGATCTCTCTGGAGAAACGTTTGTTTAATGGTCTTGTAGTGAAATAGCCGGTCCAGAATTCTTGGTTACGTTCTGTGTATGGAAAGAAATCGCCGGATATTGTAGGAAAAGTTAACAGCTTATTCGTTTTGCTTTTGGAAATTTCCGCCATTTTTCGTTCCTCGTTACGTACTTGAGTGAAGTACTCTGTCAGTGTTCCAAATTTAACAGTCATATTCCAAGCTTTCTGAGAATTAATAAATGTTATAAGTTTTTCGTAGTTTGTATACATGTTATCCCAATGATAAGGTTGTGGGTATGAAAAATCTTCCCCTAGTCCAATATACAACGTGTTGTGCTTATACAAATCACCGGTAATTCGGAATTGCTCTGATAATTTCATTGCCTGTTCTGCGACATTTTTCTCTGTAACTTGAACTGCTTCTCCTTCACCAAGATGTAGAAAATTAAATTCGTTACAAGGTACTTTATTTGGACCACACACATCGGATACCCAATAGTTAGTGTACGACATTAGACTTGACAAGACATCGCTGTCGTTCGAATGCTTCCAATATGGCCGCCACATGAACTCTAAACTTTTCATTTTCATTAACTTGGCTTTCACGGGCTGGTTTATTCTCAAAAAGAGCAGATTATCCATTCCAGTTGACTTCCATAAGTAAGGCATAGTGCTAGAATATCCAAATGGGTCATTAACCCATGCTGATTTCGGTTTGACGCCTAGATTTTCTATTAACCATTGATGTCCCTCTATCAGCTGATCAACCACAGCTATATAATTGGTGCTAGCTTCATCAGGCATTACCCAACCTCCAAGCACGATTTCAAGTTGACCTTTGCTGGTCAGCTTTTTAACCGTATCTTTACCATTTTTGTCCAAGTCTTCAAACCATCTCGCTAGAAACACTGTCTCTGCCCATTGAAATGTCATGTTTGGATATTCGACGAGTTTTGCAAGCATGTTGTTTAACGTCGCATGCGTCATCTGCTCATAATACTGTTCAATTGTCAAACCATAACCGGGATCAGCATGCGAAAAAGGTACAAGAATGACATTCAGATGTTTCAGATTTTTAGTTTTTCTAACTTCGTCAACCGTCTTGACTGGTATTGGATAATTTCCATCGCTGTTCATTTTGTAACTTACGTTTTGAAATAAATCATAAGTTGAAATATCTGCGTTGTATTTTTCTCCCCATTTTTCAACCTTTTTACAATTTCCATTAGCCACTGCTTCCTTACGAACATTGCCGTCCTTTATGGCGTTTATATTAGCACTATTGTCTTTATGATTATCTTGTTGTAAGGTTTTTTCAGGAGCTTCAATCTTCATCACGATTTTTGATTTATCCACTACTTCATTAGTTCTATTATAAGATAATGGTATTGCTTTCTCTTTTTTATTTACACCTAAATCATCATTAGGTTTCCTGCTTGCCTCTTTGAAAATAGAAATACTACTTTTAATTTTACCATAAGATGAACTAGTGACGACCGTCTTGTTTACTGAATGTATCCCAGGCTTAAAAGAAGACGTTGTATTCTGGCTGGTAAAGTTATTTTCTTGATGCACATCTAAAACTTTATGCATTCGTACATTGTTTTTCTCAGCCTTCGCTTTCATTTCATTCAGAACGCTCCCACTGTGTTCATAATGCTTATTATGATTTTGATTAAATGCTTTATTGGTAACTTCTTTATCAATATTTTTTAGTTGTCCTTTTGATTTAGCATCTTCGATATTGTTTACCAAATCTTTATTCTCATCATTGACTACATTTTGTACTTTGAATGCTTTTGATTTATCATTTGAATACTTGTTTTTTAACTTAGAAAATTTAAAATGCTGACTGTTTTCGCTATCTCCTCCACGGTGAACAAATTTTACTGCATTCTTTGTTTCTAATTCAACTCCCCCGCCAGACACACCGGAAGTCCAACCGTTGACTGCAGCAACCCAGACAAGTCTCAAGCCAATAAGTAGGACAATTACTGCAAACAGTTTCCTGATAAGCCTCTTGTAAAGATGACTTTTACGATTTCGTAACATTTTATCTCTTCAAATCTGAAACAATACAAACGTTATATTAGTGCATTCAATAATATATTTTGTATATGAATATACTATATAAAACTGACTCTGTCGTTTCATAAACGTGTTAAGACCGTGTAAGATTTATATATTGATCTATATGGATATAATTAAAAGTCTACAATTTCCTCAAAGAATCCACCAAATGAATTACAATGTTATTCTAGCATGGTTTTGATCACACTGTTAGAGCACAACAAACTTACCGTAAACATTAGTTTTTATTATTAGAGTATTATCAAGTAGTATTGTTTAAACGTTTTGCATTTATGGAAATGTTCTCAAAGAATTCAAGAAAATAAATTATCAATCCTTTGATAATATGATATTATTTACATAGTTTTCATTAGGGCGTTGCTTTAGACAACAATAAAAAATACTCTCTGAAATATAAAATAAATTCCTATTAAGAAAGAATGTGTAGAAGTATCCATGTATCTACGGCAGATAAACACCGCTTTCAAGGTCAGTACATTGCATAAAAACAATTAAAGCGGCCAAATGAAATATAATTGTTTACATTTAACTCATGCAAGTCGAATTGACCTGATTATCATTTACTGTCGCACTGTTCTTTCATTTTAAATTTATTATTTAAACTAGTGCATGCTAAATTAAATGCACCTCATACATCATATTTAAAAGAATATAAATATGGCCCTATTGGTAATAACAGGTGTCCATAATCTATACAAACATCCGCAATTTGAAAAGGTCAACCTTTGCAAGATAAATACCTCACACCTTGTAACATTTTATGTTATTATTCTCTTTATTAAAGCATCACTCGTTCAGATATTGTTTGAATTCGACATCAAAATGACTTCTGTTTTTTTCAACATTTGTGTTCCAATTGATGCGGGTCTCGTTTTTGCACAATCATCATTTTATTGTTGCATACATGTATATATATAATGACCGGAAAAAAATGACCCACAATGGGCTAAGAGTCACACGAAACAAAATCGATTTGAATTAAATTTCAAGGTCATTTCTTTATTTTTAGCATTTAAAATGCTTCTCTATCATGTAAGAATTTTAATTTTTATATTTTAGGCGTTTTGGCCGCAGTGGACATGAGCTCCTTTAAAGACGAGTAACATCAGGGAATTATTGAGTAACTTATTTCTTTATAAAAAATATTCTACATGTACTTTAGACAAATGAATAAACAGTACGTCGCCTAAATTTACATATAATGAAAAATGAACATTTTATCACTGAATTTCATTTAAAACGAGCATACTGGTCTATTTTAAAAAATGTTTTACGGTTATATATAGACATTATGACACGGTCAGGTGTTATAATAAACTTTTTTGAAATTGAAAAAAAAAACAAACAAACAAAACTTAGAATAGAATAGGTACGTCGCTTTAAATGAAACAATTACATAGACATAAAATGAGGTCAGCTTTAATGTCAAATACATGTGTCATCAAAGGATTTAAATGTTAGCAACACGCCGCATGAACTATACGAGATAAATAAAACAACCACTTTATAAATGAAATGTGTGCAACTTGATATTTCTTTCATCTATATGATCTGGTCTCCGCATTGAATGAATAGTAATGAATTTGTGTTGTAGATAAACGAATTATTTTGCTCGTCGCGTACGATAACAGTAATCTCAACGTGACCTTTTTGCACCAAGCAGACGATGTCTGTTTCACTTATTTCACAATTAATTATTATTATTATTATTTATAATTATAATTTATTATTATTTTTTATTATTATTATTATCATTAAATTATCATTATTACTATAATTATTATTTATTATTATTATTATTATTATTATTATTATTATTATTATTATTATTATTATTATTATTATCTATTATTATTATTATTATTATTATTATTATTATTATATTATTATTATTATTATTATTATTTAAAAATATACTATTAGATCTACATATCACAATTCAAATCTTCCTTACCATCATCATAAATATAATACTGATCATCATTATCAAGTTACTAATATCATCATCATCATCATCATCATCATTATCATCGCTGCGATCGAAAACAATACACATACGATCCATGATAATGTACAAGGTGAATGTTCAATAGGAGAATATGTCGAACTTGCCTCGTGCTATCAATTAAGAAAAGTAATGCGACCCGTGAAGCTTTAGTGGTAAAAGTTAAATTGTATCCCCCCCCCCCACACACACATACTACCTTTACCCTTATTAGATAAAAAACACATATGCTGAGTTCCCGATATTTATAGTAAACTAATTGACATCATCAGGCCAGCTCTCTATTTCGCGTGGTATGTCTTGGCTGTGGGGGTGGGGAAAACCGTTGTCACGGCGTTGTGACATTTACAATTGTTGAAATTTCTAGGATGGCAGTTTCAATAAAATTATCTTCATATGAAGATCACAACATATCTATCATACAACGAAATGATATGACGCTCACGGTTTCCGCATAATTGAATAAATATTATATCCCCGTCTCAAGTGCGACCATTATTTCCGGTTAGATATATATCGAATGCGTAGGTCAGTAAAAATAATTTGTTTACTGCAACCCGACCTTACCTATTTAGGCTAACGTAAGTCCGGGTTTAGTCAGCGACAGTCACTGAACACTAGTTTTGCGATATGTTTCACTGTAAGACTGTCGTGTTAATAAATAAATAAATAAATTAAACTCCATACCGACTTTTCCTAGCCTTTTTAAACAGTTGCCCTTAAAAAAGATTTTTTTTTCGTTGGCCTTATTTCAAATCGCATTCAATGATTAATTTTTCTTCACTGAAGTGTTTTTAAGTTAAGAAAATAAATATACTGTACATACGTACACATTTACTGGTAACATTACTACTAAATAGATACAATGCATGTTGAAATATAAACAATGCATGCTGTAAAAACTAACGCACACTATAAAAACAAATATTCAAAGATAAAAAATGCTTTACCTTATAATGCAATGTCTACTCCATTTCAATTACTCAGACTGGTGTTGTATTTTATTTTCTCTTTTATAATGTATTCCTTTTCCCAAACAGAATTATGGTCACTACACGTGCAAAAGGAAGTTGAATTCGTTAAGTTAAAACCCTCTGGGTATTTTTGATAGTTTTAAATTTGTAAAAATGTCAAAGTTATGCCGGTAAAACAATTAAGCCTCGGACCGCTCGTTTATTGATTTTACACTACTTCAATCCTTAAGAGAATTTACATTAAAGGCCTATCTCGACATTGTTTTGTTGCTATTCGATGTGAAAGCACCACAACGGTTAATTATGGAGGGCGATCGTTGCCAAAAGTCCAGACATGTAATGTGTTACTTTTGAAAACTACTTTTGAAAATGCGAACATGTATGTCTAGCATTTTTATTGCATTCGTGCACAGCAAATGATATGCCTCTTAATCCAATCTTTTAATTGAAGGCACCCGCTTTTAAATAACACGTTTACATGTAAATCTTAACAAACTGACCTAACATGGAGAACAACAACACATTTACAAGTTCGTATCTACCATTGCATATAATACATAAGCATGTTTACACACTTGTAGATATATATCTGTACCTGAAAAAACACAAATGAAATGTAAACTCGAATGCAGAAAATATAATTTAATAAAACGTGTTCCAGTCGTAGAACTACAACAGTACGTTTACACAGTTACATGTTTTAAAATGACAAAAGTAGATTCACAAAGTTAAACGATTCTAAGTCATGCATGACGCCCCGCCTCTCTCTGAGTATTTACGATCTTCTATCACGGAAAAATGTACGGACAGGTATAATACCCGTCGCCTCTCTCCTTTATTTCTCAATAAAGTGATGGAAAACACGGCGTCCATTCAAACTTTTTTTTTATTTCTATAAAAAGTCCAATATTATTGGTATCAAATGAAAGATTAACTCCATAAGCTTTCTATGAGTGCCTCGGAAATAAAAATGAATTGAATAGATGTATTGAATTTTTAGTTTTTTTTACTCTGAAAATAACACTCTCGAATTGGTAAGAAAAACACGGCGTTCCCTCCAAACTTTTTTTTAAGTTCGTCATATATTTTGATAATTTTGGATTGAAATAAAAAGTGTGCTTCATACGATTTATGATATATTATTATTATAATGCCTAAAAAAAAATGAATTAAATCAAACTGAATTAACTTTTTCGTTAAAAAGTTTATCATGTTACTTTCTGTAAAATAGAGAAAATAAGAATCCCTAAAGAGCGCTCAAAACGACAAAATTGAGAATGTTACAGGTCCTGTTTGATTGAGCCCTGCTCATGGACGGTAATGGAAAGAGCAAGTTATCGTCCACGCCCCTAGCCCCGGCTTAAGCAAAATTCAACATGAACTGGTTACAATTTTTGAAACATCCGCAGATGTGTTAATATGGCGATTATCATGGAACCTTCAATGTGACACGTAAGTGCCATACCATGAAAAACGGCATATGATCCCCAAGTAAAAAAAACTTTTTTTATTTCTTGGTCAATTTTGATAATAAACAAGATCATCAAGAAAAGGCGGCGTTGATAATTTTAGACTCAAGTAAAAGAATCCTTTATGAACTTTCTAGTGATGCCTTAAAAATGAAAAAAATTATGTAGAAGTATTAAAAAAAATGTTTCTAATTTATCGTTGTTTTATTCTTTTTCTCTTAAATCCACACTCATATATTCGGAAAAAAATAACGTCACTTCCCTTTAGAATACTTTTATTCTAAAAGGAAATTGAATATTGAATGAAATTTAAGACCATAAGCTTTTGAACAAGTATATTAAAAATCCGGAAACAAAGTGATCCCTCGGAAGCATTAATCACAACAAAATTACATAAGAATTGCAGATTCGGTTTAATTGAGTCTGCACATGAGGGATAATGAACAAGTGCAACATCCCTCACGCCCCCTAGCACCGGCTTGAACGGTACTCAATTCTCAACACTTAATAGCGCTGGTATCAATGATCCCGATGGACCAGAAAAACACTGAAGTGAAGTACGGTGCAACTTTTTACAGCTGCCACACGGCACTTGACAACTGCTGTTATGAAGTATTTAAATCTGGAAACAAAGTGATCCCTCTGAAGCATTAATCACCAAAAAATTACATAAGAATTGCAGACTCGGTTTGATTGCGTCTGTACATGAGGGATAATAACAAGGGCAAAAAAGTTTTTATAAATTCATACTGAAAATACCTTATTAAAGATTGTACATTATGTGCTACGGATAATATTTTTCTTGATTTCGGAAAGGGAAATCTCGGTGGCCGCTTTAAAATCCTATTTTTGCAAATACTTGCATAGGTTTTGTTGAAAATGAAATTTGTGCCAATACATTTTTTCAATGATACCAATAAGAATATTGGATGGTTTTCACATTATCAATAAAGTTACTTTCCCTTGAAGTTGGTCATTGTTTTCCCCTAAAAATTTCCAAATCGCCGATGTTTCTCAGGAAGTATATGATAAACAAAATCAACAAAGGAAGGGCGGCGCTCAATGAACGCAACCCTACATGACCCAGCAACAAGAACAAGTGGCAAGAAGCCCAGGCGGACCCCAAAACAAAACACAGGACAGGGCACTAGGCATAGCACGGACAGGCTAATCACTAAAATGATAAATAATTTGTAACTGATAAGAACACGATGTTAAATAATAAGGTAATGCACAAGTTATCTTCATCATAAATGGTAAAATCAGCAAATTTTCAAGTGTTGTTGCTAGTGACAAAACTTTTGTAACAAAATGTAACATATATATGTTATGAAAAAAAATGCCCGTATGTTGTCCTTCTGTTTTATTTAAAAATATGGGAGAGGCGCCGTTTTATACCTGTCTGCAATAGAAGTTCGTAAATACTCCGAGAGGGGCGGGGCGTTATGCTAGACTTAAAATCGTTTACTTTTGTGAATCTCTACTTTTTGTCGTTTTAAACATGTTACTGTGTTAACGTACTCTTGTAGTTCTACAACAGGTAACACGTTTTCTTCAACTCTATTTTTCCGTATTCGAGTTTTACATTTCATTTGTATATTTACAGATCTATAAGTGTACAAACATGCGTATGTATTGCATGCAATGGAAGAAAACGAACTTGTAAATTTGTTGTCGTTTTAGATGTTAGGTCAGTTTTTACGATATATATGTAAACTTGTTATATAAAGGCGGTAACCTTCAATTAAAAGATTGAATTAAGAGGCATACAATAAAAATGGTAGGCATACAAGTTCGCATTTTCAAAAGTAATTTTAAAAAGGAACACTTTACATGTCTGGAATTTTGGCAACGAACGCCCTCCATAGTTAATATGTTCATGCCTTGGAGATATAACTTTCAAGTTTGGTTGCAATTTTTCAAACTCACTTATAATTTTAGCAAAACATTATGTGCATACAGTGCTATAGTTATTATGAAATGACATCTTAGTCAGTCGTGGTGAGTCTTTTAGATTGAACATGGCTATATTTACATAGCCTTAAATGTTTACTGATAACGAGTTACAAGCTTTAACTCTGTCTGACTTTGTCCGTTTGATAAGATAAGACTCTCATTACAATTTGCATGTTTGGAAAATTCGATGTTTCATGTTATCTAGTCATGTACATTAAGCCCGGCCTAGCTAAATCTCTTAAATGAATTTGCCGAACTTAACCATATATCATTTAGTTTGGGAAATTTTAAAATACTTAATGACTGAATAGCAAACAGTCTAGACAATGATAATGGTTGGGTAGATTCAGAGGCCGACAACGGGGTAAAGATTATGATCAATTATAATTTGGTGACTTTACTATTGAAAACGTGCCAGAGTTAAATAATACATAAATATGCACATTGCGTTTACTGGAATGCAGGTATTTCTGACGTTTACTTATTTTGACGACAGTGAAAGGGATAACGATACAAAAGTCATATTAAGATGCTCGTACATTGATTACTTATAATTCTTTCTGCAGTTGAATAGAGTGACAACAGGGAATGTGTTTTTATGTTGGGCTATGATACAAAATACAAGAAAAACCAAAACAATCAGAAATCTTATTTAAAGCCATGGGCCTATGACCCCTCCTAAAATCAGATAGCCTCGTGTTTGATGCTCTTTCAATTACCTTATTAATCATCATGCAAAAAAAATGTAATTATCATTCGATCGTTAAGATTTCATTACTTTAAACATGGTCCATTTTTTATAATCCAGTTTCGATAGAAAATAAATAAGATATTGCAGTTTGAATGCTTATTATTTGCACATGGATATTGAGATCATGATATGAAAGGTTAATTTGTAACTATTTAAAAATAATTCAAGTATTATTCTACATGTACAGAAATCTTTTCAGCATTATGTAATTATGTTATACCAACACAAGTTTATTTTTAAAACTTAAAATTCTATAACTCTTAATGTTCTTATGTAAATGTCAATGGGTTATATATTTTATAAATGTCACGCGATTTTAAGTAAAGTTTTTTTTAAAGTTTCCTCTTAAATGAATTGACTGGTAAAGCAAAGCAGTTTTTACTAAAATCTATATGACAAATGAGTATTTTAGTAGATCTATTATTATTTCTTTTCATTTATTCTTTTCTTTTGTTTTTGAAACTGTAACAAGATACCAAAAATAAAAAAAGGCTTTGAGAAATAAGAAGGATGGCAAACTTATAAATATTGATAAACACCTTCCTATCAATAAAAATATCAAAGACACATTGAGGGTTTATTAAGGAAAATCACCTTTAAAAAAACAAACACTAAAATTACAAGTAAACTAAGAAATCCATGATAGGTCTTTAAGTGTTCCCATTGATTTAAAGATTGTACATCTGTTAACTTTTTTTTATAAAAATTATATCAACTTAAACAAGTTCTAAAGACAATAGATTCTATTTGTCGCCTAAATTATTTTTCGATATCCTAACGATTTCTTAGAATAAAATATATTTTATATTCTATTGTAAATGCCACATACATGGGGGAGGAACTATTACACGAAGGATGGAGTTCTTACGATTACTTGTCAGTTCTTGTGATAACAGTCACGGAGTTCGTCGAAAATCTATTAAATAAACTACAAAAACACTCTTTTTTATCCAAAGACTGACGGAAAGGGCCGAAAAGTTGCGATTGGGTATATGTATGCAGATCTACGTCACATAGCCGATGACGTCAGTGCCAGAAATTAGCTCAAGCTGGT